AAAATTCTTACAAACGGACTGGTCTCTTGTACAGTAGGGTCTGGCTAAATCCAGGAGGTGGGGGGGGCCACAGACTAGCTATCTTTATGAGTCCTAACTGAGTTGTTGTGAGTTCTAAGGAATCACAAAGCCCATGTGTCTGTACTTGCAAAGTACTAAGTAAAAGTAAAGTGTTCTTTTAAGGTCAGACTTGCTAAGGTCTTGGGACTTGCCCCAGTGCAAAGGTGGTCGGTCAGTGGCCTGTCGAACTCTCTGACCGAGTGCTAGGCGCTCCTTAGGGGCCCCCTGGGCACCACACCTGCAAGTAAGGGAGGAAATCACACAAGGGGCATCAGCCCTTGATGACCCCTGGACTGGAGATGGTCAAGAATACAGAAACGAACCAGGAAGTTCATAAAAAATTCACTAGCTTGTTGATTTGGGTTGGTTCTGAACCAGAGAACCCGAACTTTCCTGAATCAACAAACGTTTTCCGGATTAAACGACCAGGCTGCCTGCTGTCCCTTTCCCACAGCCCCTGTTACTTCCCGGTCTTCGTTTGCCACTCCCTCCATCTAGCGAGATGGAGGCCCCGCTTCCCTTCCGGGAGCCAGGCCTGCTGCCTCTACGCCTGTGCGCGTGCCTGCCTCTCTACTGAGAGGTGCGTGCATGTGCAGAGGCCACCCGGCTGGCCAATAGGCAGCTGCCTATAAGTCTATAGAGAGAGAATTAAGATGGTGGCGGCAGCAGCAGCAGAGACGTAGGAGGCAGTGGCAGGAAAAGGTCAGGAGGCAACGGGCAGCCACTGGGATGTCTTAAAAAAAATGAACCCAATGACCTGATCTGTAGTTCATCTGGGGGAAAAATAGTAAATTCGTGGTTCGTGGACCTCCACAAACCATGAACCAAGACAAGCTGCCATTGTTGGTGCTTCATGCCCGTCTCTATCCTGGCCTACAGTTAGGATCTCCTCCTCCTCTTCCTCCTCCTCCTCCTCCTCCTCTTCTTCTTCGAACTTAGATAATGACCCTCTGGTTCATCCAATCCAGCTCCGGTTAGGGAGGCACAGTGGTGGGAAATCAAATTCCCAACCTCTGGCTCTGCAGCCAGAGATCTAAACCACTGAACTATCCAGTAGTTCACTGAGGATCATCATCATCATAGAACTTCAAGGCTAATAGGGAGCCTCTTCTTTGAGTCCAGCCCCAACCAAGGAGACCCAGTGGGGAATCTAACTCCAGCATGCCTTCTTCCTTTTGCTATTATTGCGCTATCTCTGAGCTAATTTAATGGAGCAATAAATGTATGTTTCTATTCCTACCCAAGTACCAGTTTCTAGAGTACTCACTCTTACACAATAGCCACCAGCTCAATAACTTGCCCACCAGCTTGGGCATTGTGCCCCCTCCTGTCTTTCCTAAGCGATACACTAGAATAAGAAATTATGCCCTAGATCTGGGGATACACTGGGGATACACAAAAGGTACCAAGACCTTTTGTGTGCATCAGCCCTCCGGCCTTCTTGGAAGTTAAATGTACTGATCCACCTACATGCCAAGATTTTTCCATGAGGCCAACATTGGCTAGTGGGGCTGATCCTTCCCCTAGAAAGGCCAGCCTAGAGTCCAGGTTTGCTGAGATAAGAGGCAACAGGAGACCTGTTGGGGCTGCAAAAGGATGGAGACTGACCATGGGGACAGAATGTCTGCAGCTGATTTTACTGGCCAGCCACTGCAGCTCAGCCAGGGGCTGCCTACTCCCCATTGTGGCAGAAGGGGCTTTGGTGCAGATAGACAGGACCCCCCCCCCAATGTGAAAGGGGCTCACGGTGCTTAGAACATTTCTTGTCCTCTAGATGTGGGGCAGCTGGTTATGGGGTGACAAGGTGAAGCTGAAGCAGCAATAAGTCAGAACCTTGTTCCACCAAGCAGACATGTGCAGAGGGGAGGAAACAACAACAACAACAACAACAACAACAACAACAACAACAACAACAACAACAACAACACAGAAGACAGGAAACCTGGACACCACCTAAATTCTAGGAAGCCAGCTCTATTCCTGCCCCTACCTCATTTCCACCTGCACAGGCAAGCAGCAGCTTTTTAGGGTCCCAGACTGGGGGGGGGGGGCTCTGTTTCCCAGTCCTGCCCTGAGATGTCACTGGAGCTTGAAGGCAGGTCCTTCTGGAGGCAAAGCACCAAGCAGCCATCCCTTCCCCAGCGTGAACCTGCCACAGGCCAGCTACACTGGCCACCAGTGGCTCTCCAGGGTTTCAGGTGGGAGTTTTTCCAAGACTGACGTTGGGGAGGGCCACGACTGAGCCCAAGGTCTTCTCTGCACAAAGGGGTTGCGGATGGCGGAAGACCCCACGCCTCTCAGGCAGCGGGCAAGGCCCACGGAGGTGGGCTATTTTTCCATGCAGGGGAATGTGCAGCCTGCCTCCTGCAGTCCAGGATCCACCAGCGCCTTCCCTGAAGGAAGCACTTGCACCGTGAGATGCAGTAACTGAGAAGCGCCACCCCCCCCTGGGCCCCGAGCCGGTGAGACCATGGCTGCGGGGAAAGCTGCATGAAGGGCACTTCTGCTGGTGGATCTTACACGTCCTGCCTGGCTCATGGGCCTGCACCCACTTCCCACCTCTGGGCCTGTTGTTGTCAGGGTCCCGGCGCCCACCACCAGCTGCCTTGGAGGCGTGCTCTGAAAGACACAGGCCAGATCATGGAAACGCAACCATGGACGCCTTGCCCATGCTGCTGTGGCTCCTCTTTGTAAAGAACCATAGAAAAGGGACGTTGGAAGGGGGGCCTCCGAGGCCTTCAAGTCCAACCCCCTCCTAAAGGCAGGGATCCCAAATCAAAGCAGACCTGCCAGGGGATGATCCAAGTTTTTCTTGAATGTCTCCAGTGTTGGAGCACTCACCAACTCCTCTGGAGGTCACTGGTTCCACTGTCGTACTGCTCTAACGGTTAGGAAGTTTTTCCTGCTAGTCAACTGAAATCTGGTTTCCTTTAACTTGGGCCCCTTGTTGCGTGTCCTGCACTGTGGGATGATCAAGAACAGATCTTGCTCCTCCTCTGTAGGACAGCCTTTCAAATATTTGAAAAGTGTTATCCTATCGCCCCTCCGTCTTCTTTTCTCAAGGCTAAACATGTCCAGTTCTTTCAGCCTTTCCTCGTCAGGCTTGGTTTCCAGCCTCTGGATCATCTTTGCTGTCCTCCTCTGAACTTGTTCCAATTTGTCATAATCCTTCCTAATGTGCTCCAATTTGTCATCATCCTTCCTAATGTGCTTTATGTCCAGAACTGGACATAGGACTCTAGATGAGACCTTACTAGTGCTGAATAGAGAGGGAACAAGCACCCTATGGGGGTTTGGAGACTGTACTTCTGTTAATGCATCCTAAAATAGCATTGGCCTTTTTTGTAGCCACATCACACAGTTGGCTCATATTCAGATTGTGATCTACAACAATTCCAAGCTCCTTCTCCCTTGTAGTTTTGCTGAGCCAGGTCTCACCCATCTCGTAACTGTGCGATTGGTTTCTTTTTCCGAGGTGCAGGACTTTGCACTTATCCCTGTTGAATTTCATTTTGTTGCTTTCGTCTCATGCTGCTTTTGAGATGGCTTGTGCAAAAAGGAGCAACCGAACATGCCATGACCTTTATGCTTCACATTGGATATTGGCCACCTTGTTTCCAACCAGCAGAACAACAGCCAGCCAGCCCCAAATCTTGTATTTCCCTTTTCTGCCCAACATTTGCTTTATGAGCAGAAGCACAGCAGACGCCAACGCACCCTAAGGCTCCTTGTCATTTCTTTGGCAAATGACATGGCTAGCCCCTTCCCATAATCCGACAGAGGCAGCCTGTCATGGGACTGGCACCAGCAGAAGGCAGCAGAAGGGCAGATCCGTTTAGCCAGTGCCAAACACCCCTGGCTTTCTCCTGCAGCTGTGGAAGAGGTTTAGAATGACGGCTACGAGGGTCACCTCCTCTAACAATGCTACTCTTGTGGTAGTTAAATACTCACACATGAAATAAACTTATGTGCAATGAACTACTAGAAGGAACTGGATTTCAAGAACAAAATAATGCTGAGAAAGTTGAAGGCAGCACAAAAAGAAGATGACCAAACACAAGACAGACTGGCTAAATAAAGGGGGGGGGGGCACAGCCCTGAGTTTGCAAGACCAGAGCAGCGATGTGAAGGACAGCATCTTCTGGAGCCACTAATTTACAGGGTGACCATTATGTCAGAAGTGACTTGATGGCGCACAACAAGGGGAAAGTAAATGTTTTTTTTAAAAATGCCAGTATATTGACGCAGGAAGATTCCAACACTGGAAGACTTCATAAACATCAGAAAGAGTCCAGTAGATCCCTGAAGGTGGTTTATTCCAGGATAGGCTTTCACAGACTAAAGCCTTGCCATGGGCTAATTCAGGGACCTCACTGGAATTTTCTTTTCTTTCTTTTTCTTTTCTTTAACAAAACAAAACAAAACAAATTCTTGCCTGACACCCAGAACTGTAAAGCGAGGGCTCAGAAGCATGATTCCTTCTAGGCAGCGTCTGGAGCATTCACTGACTGATTTTGGTGCCCAGTCTGTCACTGCCCTACTGGTTAAGTCTGGGACATATGAGTTTGCTATTCATGGGCCTGGGTCCATGCTAGCCATATTAATTCTGGATGGAGCTGGCTCATGGTATGTTTCCTTCTGCCCAGGAAGAAGTGGGTGGAAGTGGGACACACACTTGAAGTGAGGAGATGCCCACTCTCTGCCACCTGGGCACTTGACCTTTAGAAGGGACATGAGGAGCCCTCAGGTGCGGCGCTGTTGGCAGGAGGATCTGCCAACCATAGACATCTCTGGCCCTCGGACTGCACTCCGTGCGAGATGAGACGGAGCCGCCTCGGCTGCTGCTGCGACCGAGTCCCCGCCACCGAGAACGGGGCTGCTCCCGGGCTCAGCAGAACCTGAGCCCCTCTTTGCCCGGCTGCGAGGCTGGAGTCACTCACCTCGATCAGGAAGTCTCCGGTGCGCAGTCCCGCTCGCCACGCCACACCCTCCACATCCACGGATTCCAGGTACTGGAGTGCTGGGAAAGCGGGCGTCGGGGTGAACTCCTCAATCGGAGTCTCCGCTGAAACAACAACGGCTCTGGGTTAGGATGGGGAAGGAGACCCTTTTCTTTCTTTTTTTAATATTTTTTTTATTTTTTAATATAAGGGATGACAGAAAGGAAAAGGGAATTGAAATTGATGAGGAAGAGGGGAGACAATAACATACTTCCATCCATTCTGTACCGATTGCCTTATCAAGATTTTAGGTTATTCTATTTACTCTTTTCTGCCTTCTAGATTGAGTTCTCGTTTCAATATATGCTATTTACATGCTGCCTGTTGATTCAGTCCACTTGTTAAATAGATCCCATCTTTCTGTTGCCTTTTGCAGGGGATAATCCTTCATGACTTCTGATAAAATATCCATTTCGGCTATTTCCCGTATCTTTTCAATAAGATCTTCTTGTTTCGGGAAGGAGACCCTTTTCCATGGGAAGAGGTTTTCCGCCAAGAACACGCCCACCTGCACACCACAGAGGAGGGCTTCCTCCGGCCGCAAGGAGAGAGCCCTTCAAGGCTCCCCTTTTCCAGGGCACAGCTTTGGCTTCCCTCTACAAGAATCCCCCAGGCAGGTCGGGAGTGATGGGAGAGGCAGACCTCCAGAATAATGTTTCCATGCTCTGCTCTTTTCTCATTCATTTGTTTGTTCATTCATTCATCCATCCATCCATTCACAAAGTTTTCTACCCCTCCTTTCTCCTTAAAAAGGACCCAAGGTGGCTGGGACAACTTTATACCCACTGTGACTCCAGTAGAGAAGAATATAGGCTACCTTGGTTTCTTTACCATTTCAGGCTGAAAGTTTTTGAAGTGGTAGCCATGTTAGTCTGTGCAAGCATATCAGGCAAGAAAGAAAACATACAAAATATACATTTAAAAGAGAAAGCTGCAGCCCCTTAAAGACTAACTTTAAAGACCACTTTAAAATATAAGTTACTCTTTAATTTTTGAGACTTTCTTTCTTTTTAAAAAAAATTGTGTGTGTGTTTTGTTTTGTTTTGTTTCATGTCTGAAAGACTTAAAGTTGTTAGTCTTGGTGGCCCTGTTCCTTTTTTAAAAAATTAAATTTTATTTTATTAAAAGAACATCAAACATATACAACATAAACCTACCACCACAATAATATACAATTGCATAATACATCAGTGCCACCTTCACCCTCAGGCCCAGTATTAATAATATTTTCAAATTTCATTCAATCCATTTTCTTTCCAAAAAATCATAGTTTCTTCCCTTGACATATATACCCCTTCCCTCTCCGAAACACATATTCCAGAAATACGTTCCATGTTTTCTTAAAATCATTATGTTTTGATAAACCTCTTCTTATTTTCATATAACATGTCAGTTTATCATTAATTGCCAGATCCCATAATTCTCTATACTATTCCTCTAAATTAATTTGGTTATCATTTTTCTAATTTCTTGCCTGCAGGGCCTAGGAAGTGCAGGGGGAAAGCAGCTCTGAAAGGGCTGCAGGATCAAAGGGTTGCAATCCTGCAGACCTTTCATTGCTGCTTTCCCCCTCCACTTCCTAAGACTGCTGGTTTCCCCCTCTACTTCCCCAGCCGTTTCATCCTGCTTTCGCAGGGCTTAGGAAGTGGAGGGGGAAAGCAGTGATCCAATTTTCTTATTTGGGATTGGAAAAGTGGGGGGTCGTCTTATACATGCAAAAATACAGTAACGCTAAAACCATTCTCCTTCACAGGAAGCCCACGGGGTGGCCATGCAAGAACATCAGAAACAAAGAAAAGATCCAGGGACAATTCAATCAACTTGAATCAGCCAAATTCTACATCAGATCAAAGTTAATGTCTAGTTTCTCAAGAGAAGAATCAGCTTGTTTTCAGCAATGAAAAGTTCTCTCTTCAACAGGCTTTTAAAGGTTGTACCAGCATGCAGTTGGATAAAATGCCATAGGCAGGAGAAAGGGTGGGCCTGGGAGCCCAAAGAAGTGACAGCCTGACCCCTGAGCAGTCCCAGGAGCCAGAAAAGCCAAGGTTGTTGTTGTTTTTTTTGTTGTTGTTGTTGCTGTTGTTTTGCAAAAAAGGGAGCGCCTTGCCCCGTCGGGAACAAAAAGGAGCAAGGAACAAGTAGCAAAAGGAATGGCAGTGGACGGCAGGAAAGGAAGGAGAGCAAGCAGAAAATGCCTCTTCAGAAATAACACTGAAATGCAGGAGAAGCAGGGCCGTGGTTAGCAATGCAATATGGCATTGTTAGACAGCATGGCTGTAACGAAGAGTACAGGGGGACAACACAGGGAAGCTCAGCTAATTTTTCTTGTGGAGCCTTGACTGCGAAAGATATTGGAGTGATGCTCATGACCGGACCCTTGGACAATGCATGCTAAAAATAGCTATGCGTTTTCCCAGACAGAGGACTTCTAGGCTGATGGCCGTGTCGCTCTGTGCATTTCTGTTATCCTGTAACAGGTTTTCCCCTAGTAAGGCAAAGATGGGAGAAATGGTGGGAGGAGGTGGGAGGGTTGCCAATGGAAGCCGATCTTGTTTTGATCCCTGGAGTGGAAGCAGGGTGTTGGTGGGATAAACGTCTCAGCCCAGCTCCGTGAGCTGGTTACTTGGCTGCAGAGCCAAGGGTTGGCCGTACTGTAGTTCGATTCTCCTCATTGCCCCTCCCAGGCCAGCCTGCGTAGTCTGGGGAAAGCCACCTCTGAGCACTTCATGCCTAGAAAACCCTGGAAAAGGTCACCACGAGTCAGAACTGATCTAACGGCACACAATTATGATCAATATAACAACCACCACCCTGTCGCTGGATCTGGAAAGTGCTAAGGATGGCATTCCAGACTAGCTGCCAAGTTACCAGCAAAAATGGTTGATCTTCTAGCAAAAGTATATAAATTGACTGTAAAAGCATCAGCTTCTCTCCACACACACCCACCCACCCAGGATTCCAGGAACTGGGGACAGGAACACAGGAAAACCTAACACAGGATGGATTAGTTCAGTAAAGGAAGCCCCAGTGTGCAAGACCCAAGCAAGTTTGTTAACGATGGGACTTTCTAGGTAAGGTAAAGGTAAAGGTTCCCCTTGACAATTTTTGTCCAGTTGTGTCCGACTCTAGGGGGCGGCGCTCATCCCGCTCTTCAAGCCATAGAGCCAGCGTTTGTCCGAAGACAATCTTTCCGTGGTCACATGGCCAGTGTGATTTAGACACGGAATGCTGTTTACCTTCCCACCGAGATGGTACCTATTTATCTACTCGCATTTGCATGCTTTCGAACCGCTAGGTTGGCGGGAGCTGGGACAGGCGATGGGTGCTTTCTGAAGGTCACTAATTTATAGGGTTGCATGTAATTGGAAGTGACTCCAGGGCCCACAGCAGCAACAGGAGCTAGGAGATTTGGAAACCTGAGCACCAGGAAGCTGAATCTGTACACCCAAGGCCTAATCAGGAGGGAGTTAGATTCTGCCAGCACGCAAGAGATCCAGGGATGAAAGCAGCAACCCTGTGTAAGGGGCAAGAATCACTGTCTGGCGAAAAAAATGTCTTGTGAGGTTCCCTATGGGAACCTCGCAAGACGAATGAAATTTATTCATCTTGCGAGGCATCGGTCTCAGGGGGGAAAAAGTCTTGTGAAGCATGGCCATAGAAGAAACTGAATATTTTAAACCAACCAACCAGCTGGGGCTCTGAATGAGGAGCTCCTCATTGAAACACTTTTCTGGAGCTGAGAATTAAAGGAAGGGACATGTAGTTTCAAAGTGGCCTTCAAGGACTGCCAGCTCCATAGTTCCTTTGGCACCCTCAGGAGGAAGGTATGGTGGGCAGGTGGGACAGAACGCCATAAGGATCAGGGCCACCAATCCCAGGGAGAGTGAGAACCGACGTTCCCTCTAGTGGTCATCCCGGGTGAGCTAAAGTCTTGGCTGTCTGTGCATGCGTGTGTGTGTATTCATCCGAAACCTGGAAGGAAACAGGCATTGCCCCTGGCTGTTGTTACGTGTCACCAATGGAATCCTGCGCGGACCTTAGAGGAAAGGTTGGTGAGAACCAAGGCTGCTTGTAAGATCTATAGCCTTGAAATCCAGGTGAAGAAATGCTTTGTTCACCCTCTCTTTGGGGCCGTAGGTAACAAAAACATGGTTGAATACAATGGTTTCACAGCACACCTTGTCAATGCTTGTTCTCTGAGAATTTGAGCACAATTCAAAACAACCAAAAACATTTCTATTCTAGTCAGTCCTCCACGGGGTGGCCTCAGAGGCTGCAGAGCTGGAAGAAGCTTCTAAATGCCTGCTCCAAGTGCATGCTACAGCAGAAACGTCTCTGAGGATGTTCTTTGTGAAATACTGCTCCACAAAAAATATTCACAGTTGGAAAAGTCTACCTCCTAGACATTAAAAGAGGTGTATAAAACACAACAGCAGCTCACTTTCAGGGAAGTGGGCATAAACAGGGTTGCCAAAATAGCCACCTGGCTAGGTTTTACCCAACATTTAGACAGGCCATCCAGCATCTATTTAACCCATCAGCTGACCTAGATTCGACACCTTTTTAAAAAGTTCTCATCCTTAGAGAGAGAGAGAGCGAGAGAGAGCAAAACATTACGTTGCTGCTTGATCATTGTTTTACAAGAGACAATGACCCAGAGAGAGAGAGAGAGAGATAGAGATAGAGAGCAAAACATTACGTTGCTGCTTGACCATTGTTTTACAAGAGACAATGACCCAAATCCTGCTGCTTAGCATAATAAATTGCACTAGCGTAGGCCTATTGAATCAACAGGGATTTGGTGAGTGTAGGTAATTATTTTGGCTAAGAGGTTCTGGACAGTGCCAAATTGGATGGGCACTTACTTACATGTGTGTGGGTTTGTGAGTGTGCATGTATATATACATATACATCCAAGCACACACACGTGTGAAGTCAAATATGGCAAAGAAAGTCAAGTTAGGATATTTTCAGTTACAGCAAATCATTCAGTCTGTCACCTGTATCCTGTTGCTTATGCACTAGAACTGTGTGCAAAATGCTGCATTCTTCATGCCCTTCTTCCCCCTGACCTCCCCTGTT